GTACGTCAAATACAGGTGCGCTGCGTGCTACATACTGCGCATCCACTGAGTACATGACATGATCCATTGAGCGCATCCAAATAGTACAGATCGCTTCACGGAGAGCGAAACTCTCAAGCGCTCAGTCAGCGTGTTTATCGAGTAAAAATCTGTGTTGAACGCCTCTCACACACATACTGGTGTGTAAAATCAAAGAATTTATTAGCCAATGGCTAATGTTAAATGTTATACATTATTTAGTCACCCAGAGTAAGATTTAGTCGCATATGCGAGTGATTTACTCGCAATGTAGAGGGTTGCCAGTCCATCAATTAACATCTTGTGGAATGAAAAGCTGTGTATTTGTAATAAACAAATTCATCACCAAGGTGTTTTTAACTTTAAACCATTGCTTCCGGCTAAAATACGAGAATATTCTATCCATATTATTGTGAACAAGTCATCTCTTCTAAATCAGGAAATTTACAAGCACAAAAAAGCTCAAAATAAGTATGTCTGTGGATTTTGATGCGAGAGGACAACAGGGAATTTGTTTCTTACACTTACAGATTTGTTTCTTACAAACAAGCAGCCTTTCACATTACATTTGGTGGTATACGTAGGACAATAACTGATCGACTGGATTACTTGAGGTCATTTGGACTCTTATTCTGACAACACCCATTCACTGCAAAGGATCCACTCACTGCTGAACAAGTGATGTAAAGCTAAATTTCACAAAATCTGTTCCGACGAAGAAACAAACTCATCTACAACTTGGATGGCCTAAGGGTGAGAACGTTTTCAGCAAATTTTCATTGTTGGTTGAACTTTACCTTTAAAAGAGCAATTTCTGTCACCATTTCATCTTAATTTTTGATTAAACTACTCTTTTAACTCAATAATCAACTGATCAGTTATTAGAAAGTCTTGAATGGTCTCCACTTTATATCCCATGTGAATGAAGACTCATGGCAGAGACAGCGAAGGCTCTTCTGCTGGAGGAGGAAAAACACGTGCTCGTGTTTCACAAATCAAAGCAAATCTTGCTAACAACTGTTTTATAGAAGCTTTTTTTTTAAAATACAAACTGACTTTCAAAGCTATTAAATCAGAAGGATGGTTTATCCAAAAATGAAAACACTGTCGTCATTTACACACCCCCATGCTGTTCCAAACCTGTATGATTTAGTTCTTTCCATGGAACATGCAGAGCTGTGTCCTGCCCGAATGTACCACACCAACGCTTAAGGGGAAAATACCATTAGGGGTATAGTGTGCGCTTAAAGCAACAATTTTGTAGCTTTTTACCTGTAAAAGTTTCATAGTAGTACCTTAAGGATACATATTACTAATCTAAGGCACCGATATGCACCTTTTAGGTACATCTGTTGCACATTTATCTAAAAGGGATGTTTGAATATTCAATTTATTTAAAAAAACAAGGCATTTAAAAAGATTTTCAGTGAATGATTTAAATTTCAGTCAGTTACTCGTATCATAGTTTCAGAAGTCGTACAGACCACTTAGCACTGTATATTGCTTTTTGTTATTTTTGGAGATCTGCCCCCCTTCACTTTTATTATACTGAAAGTTCTCCAGAATTTCTTATTTTGTGTTCCATGGAAGAAGAAAAAAACACATACATTGTTTGGTACTACATTGGGGAGAGTAAAAGATGACAGACAAATTTGTGTAAACTATCCCCTGAAGTAAAATGTTACACCAGCATATCATAAAACAAGATCGGTCAATACGTCATAATGTGTTACCTGCTAGGTGAGAGCCTCGCATCATGCTCTGACATATAGCAGAGCATCAAAACCATCTCTGCTGTTCGAAAGAAAAAAAAATCCTATAAATCCAACTTAGCGAGCGTTTTATCTGAACTATTTAAGTGTATAATTTTCTGCAAAGTGTGCATAGTACCTTGTTTGACAAGTTGTCTATCTTTTCCTGATCTAACCGATGTTGACGGGATAGTGCCTCCAGGGTGAGGGCCGAGCGCTCCACCTCCCTGTTCAACACACACACTATGTTCTCCAAAGCTGTGACTTTCTGCTGTACACCAGGACCGCCTCCTCTTCCTGCATTATGGCCAGCAGCATGAGCCCCCGCTGGAGATGCGTCTTCAAGTCCACGATACAATCCCAGTCCGGAATCTTCCTGCAACTCTCCAGCACCCTCGGCCAGCAGGCGCACAGAGGACAGCACGGCTAGCATGAGACGCAAATGTTCTGTCATGCTGGTCTGCTCATGCTCCTGCTGCTTACCATTGTCAACCTATGCAAAAGTATTTATATTAGTACTACATTAAAAAGGACTACATAAAATTATGTAAAAGCATTTCTTTGATATTACAATTATTTATTCATTTATGTTGAAAAATGTCCTGTGGTTACCAAGAGAAAGAAAGGGTTAAACACATAATTGAAGCAAGACACTATTAGCACACAATTCTCACGATTAACTAGTTGCTTATTAGCATTCCTTCTTGAAAATCAAATGATTTTAGTTGTTATATAATAATTAAATGCTTTTGTTAATGTTGCTGCTATTGAGGTGTGATTCTGGTAAGAATTGGGGGCAGGTTTGGTTGTATGGGTAGGTTTATGAGTTGGTTAAGGGGGTCAACAGTGTATGGGGATCAATTTGATTACTATAAGGGAAAATGGTTAAAACTGTTTATACTACATTGTTTTGATAAATGAACAAGAATCTTCTGATTTGTTTTCTTCTGTTAATGTATGATTCAAGGAATACTAACATAAGTGCCGAGGCAATAAAAAACATAAGGCACTCAAATTACAATATGTTTTATGTCTTTAGCAAGCATTTAGTTAAATTTAAATAACCACCCTTCACACAAATGTTGTTACAGCAGCTAAAAGTCCAATGGCCATAAAGGTACTGAATGATTAGTGAATATTTATAAACATTTACAAATAATGTATAGCCTCAACTTTAGACTGGGTACTGCAAACATTTATTAATAAATGATTTGTAAAGATGTGTAAATAGTAGAAGTCTACACAACAAACGAAGACCCAATATATGACCTTTACAGACTTTAATTATGAGTTAACAAGTATTATATTAAAACAAATAGTTTGTGAAGTGCTAAAAATGACTAATTAAGCTATTTTTTCACAACATTTATAAATGTTAAAAAAAAGAGCATTAGGTAATATGTAAACTGAAGTTGAATGACATTTCTTAGCATTCAAAAGTACATTAAAAATAAGCTTGTAATCGTATAATTTCTGTTAAAATCATTTGTAGATTTTTAAAAAGTGCATGATCATAAGAATTGAGCATTTCATGATATTTGGAAGCATTTTAATTTACATTAAATAATGATATGTTAATCATTAGGTAATGTTTAATAAGTTCTTTAGTAAACAATAACAAGCACATTAGCCCCTGTCACACATACAGTCTTTACTGGTAAATTACCATTAAGAGATCATGGACCTTTTCAAAAATACCTGTAAATTCGTTCTGGCAATTTACCGGTATGAGAAGTTGTAACATTACCAGTAAATTACCGGTAATCTGCTGTGTGAATGCAGAATGAAGATTACTGGTGTGAGCACATTTGAGTTCAGAACACGGTGACGTAAGACGTCTACTCTGGACCAATTCAGAGCCATTGAAAATCAAAATTCAATCATAACATTCTGATGACGTATTTACTCCGTGCTGTGTAGGCCAGTCTAATATGATCTCTCTGGCAGTGTTCAAATTGTGTCAAAGCTCCCTCACCAGACCCAGATTATTTCAAGGCTTTTGAAATTTATGAAGCATTTCAGAACAGTTAACAGAGAGTAACAAAACACCACAAATGAAATAAAATACTTTCTGATGGCCTACACTACAACACTAATTTCTCAAGAAGCTAATTAACTAAGCAACTCCGAAATGCTTGGCATTTTTCTATGCTCCAAAAAGGCAGTAGATCTCCTTTGAACAATAATCTCTTGAACAGCCTCAATTCTATTCTGAACTTAACTACATTCATGAAAAACAAATACACACCACTGCCCTGCAGCCAATTTCACTGAACTGGCACGCCGACTTAGACTTTGCACAAGACTTGATGTGCTCTTGAAACTGAAAAAAGAGGAGGGAAAATCAGAGAAAAAAGTCAACACATGAGTATGACAACAAATAATTAGAAGCATTGTGTGAATAATAATAATAAAAAAAACGTTTTAGAGGCTAATATATATTTAACAGAGTGTTTACATTGCAGTGTTTTACATACTGACAAATACTGTAATTCAAGCAGAACCAATATATGGCTGAGAACGCAGACCAACCTTCTCTCTGGGGATTTTCTTTTTACCACAGTCTTTGCATTGCATGGGAAATTTCTGACATATTTCGTCATGGGCCTGTGACACAAAAATGTAATGTAGGAAGGAGAATCAGCAAAGATAATATGATATCAACAACTATTTTGCTCACTCTTTGTGCTTCAAACGCCTATGCATTTCATTTGCATTTTCATTTCCTCTGATTCTTTTATCATTAATAATTATTATTATTATAATCACAACATAGTTCTTTTTATTTTATCTTTGTTAATAAAAAGAACAAAGATACAAATAACAAACAGTATAACAAATACAATATAAGAAAGAAACAAATTAAATAGACAGTGCTTTACATTTTTTAATTTTACATCTATTTAACAAAAACATTCAAATAAGAAATAATACAGAAACCATATATTCAAATGTAAAAATTACTGCATAGTCTTAGTGTATCAATTATAAATAAACTGATTATTATTAAAACTACAAAAGTTACTCAGTCAAGATCAGCAAGTGATTCTCTCTTTTCTTTTGTTGTTTGGTAAACATTAATGACACAGACAGCAGCAGGTTTATTATATTAAGACCTAATGCACAGACCTAATATAATGTTACACATCAGATCCCCCCCAACTATGTTTACATGAATACTCACCAACAGACAGATATTTTTAAATAATTTCTGTATGTCTGACCGTTCAAGTGCAATACGTCGCTAAAGAAAACTGAATTCGGGAACGCATGCCGAGAGGTGGCTTTTTGTGCAGGTGCTTCAGCTGTGTGCCAGACAGCGCGAATAATGCATTGAGATCTTTTTCATGGTTTATTGCACTTAATATCTCTTTTTAACATCAAGCACATCCCGTACTTTATTTTCTCATTCATGCATGTTCTTTTTGTGAAAACTGAAATGGAAACATTAGATGCAAGTGCTTTGTTTTTTAATAATAGGGGTACTTTAATTACAATTAAACAGTACTTTAATATGTATGATAGGTCTATTTAAGAACATTTTTCAAGAATTTATTCTTTTATTTTCACATCAATATGTGGAGTAACAGTTATACTCCACAGCTCTAGTTAACACAGCAAACATTAAATGTACACAAACTACAGAATAAATCAGTGGTAAACTTAAAGATAGGCCACTTCTAGGATGTGGATTACCTTAATTTCTTTGAAGTTGAATGTGACCTTGCAGTATTTGCAGTTCAGGGTTCTGGCCTCGCATTCCCGCTCATTGTGGCGGTCTTTCTCACTGACCAAGATGAGTGCTTGACATGCTTCACATTTTACACGTTCAAAGTCACAACGACCTTCATGCTGACCCTAGTGAAGAAAAGAAGTATCTGTAAATGTCTATCTTAAATGCTATGTTGAAAGGAAAAGTACCACATTGTTGTGTATGAGTCAACTCTTAAATTGTGCCCCATTCAATATTATCTTGAGAATATGAATAGCTTTTTATAGCTAGCTGTTGTTCATGCCCTTTATTCCCATGAGATGCATTTCCTGTTTTTAAGTTACTAAATGATCACAAGACATAACTGGCTGAAAGTACATAATGACCTTGTGGACAAGACAGTCACAAGACAGAACAATGACAGAACATTTTCAGAATTCTGAGATGTAGGGTGAATTGGGGTAAACTGCAACACAAGGGGTAATTCATCCAAAAATAACAATTCTTTCATTGTTTACCCACATTTATGTTGTTCCAAACCCGCATTACTGACTGAATAGGAGAAATTTAAATTTAAATTAAGTACTACTTAATCTTTTTCAAATTTAAGTTAATGTATGGCTATACATAACATAGTGTATACGCTTTATTTTCTATTATTTTGTTTTAGATGAACATTTAAGTAACAAGAAGAAAAGCCACAGCTATTACAGAAAAAACAATATAAAGTTTTACAATTTATGTATAGTTATATAGATCACTACATCTTTATATTTTTAGCTGTCATTCTCAGTTGTCTAAATCAAAGGTCATCTTCCACTGGTGTGTCTTTGTGCAAATGCCCTGTTTAATTAGGCAAACTTTATATACGATAATGCTAGAGCTAAGGCCAATTCACACTACACTGACAGACGACCAAGTACATACATCACTTCTCAGACATTCCAAAACCTGACAAACACCGATCCAACATAAGCGTCGACCAACACCAACATACAGGGGTAACACACTGATCAGACAAAACCTGACAAATGTGTATGTTGCAATTTGTCTGCATCTGTCAGTGCAGTGTGAATTGGTCTTTAAACAAGAAGGGTGTGGGAAATATAATGGCAGTTATATCTGTTACTCAGATAAAAAAAAATAAAAAAAAGATCAGAATCAAGTAAGTCAGTCATTACACCAGTTTATCAATCTATACATCAAAGAAACAATCTGAGATAAATATTCTAAGAACATGGTCAGACTTTAGGGGAATTTCTTGCTTCATTTCTTTAGTTACCATGTGTTCACACCAGATGAATCAACACTGACTCAATCTGACATAATGACTTAACATTCAACACTGACTTAATCACTAAACACAAGGGGAAAATGTGGGTCGTACCAATGCTTTTACCAGCCAAATGGAAGTAAAAAAACAAGTTAAACTTGAAAAGGTTTCAGGTTTTCAGAAACAAGACTGAAAGTCAGAATGGAAACTTGGCAAGAGTTTTTGTCAGCAATCAAAATATCTAGGTTCACAGGTTAGAAATAACTTTAAGCATTACTCTCATCTTACACAATCACATACACTTATAGCACTATATAACCATCAGCTCTCTGAATGCCTTAAACTACTCAATAAATCTTTTTTTTATTTTTTATTCTGAAAACAGTTCACCAAATATACAAAACCCTTTTTCAATACAAAAAAGCCTTCCAAGCTTAAAATTTTAAAATAAACTAAATTATTTCCATTATCATTACACAGAAGGGTAAAAGGTAGTGGTCGACCAATTATATCGGCTGACATTTTTTGACAGCCGATGCCGATATCTTGGAAAGCAGGGTGGCCGATGGCCAATATAAAGCCGATATAATTGTATTTATTTTAATTAATATTTAAGAAATATGAAATCATTTGAAAATGGATTAAAAAATACATTTGTAAAATAAACATACTTATACTTTAGATGACAAAGTATTTAATAAAAATATAATTAAAAAGGAAGTAAACTGTAACCAACAGAGCACTCGGTATTCTGGGAAGTTTGTGTGCATTTGGGAATCATTTTCAAATAAAGCCATGGTAACACTCATTTTACATACAGCACACAGTAAAAATTACATTAATATGACAGTGGGCAAATACATAAAGCGCAGCATAATTTGAAATCAAGAATTTAATGTTTAAAGCATTCAATTTGCCCGGACCGAAAGTCACGCAGAGAACACGCGATCATGCAGGTCACATGCACACTTCACAAGATCTCACAACTTGATTCGACTAAGTTTCATTTTAATTACTTTGTTTAACAGTTCTATTGGATTATTAGCCAGACTTCTATCCGTATTAGACAGACCTGTTAACGACGACGGCAAACAAGAGGGAGATCAAAATAAAAGTCCCACCTCGAAAAACAGAAAAACTTATCGGCCGATGCCGATATTTGAAAAATGCCGATATATCGGTCGGCCACTAGTAAAAGGTTATTATGCTTTTAACATAGTTTTAAAAGACAAATACTACACTAGCAATTTTCAAAAGCTTATCATCTACACTGTACATGGTAACACAGGTACTTTCCAGGCAGCCTTGGGACTTTCCACCCAACCCCCATCTTTAAGTGCTGACTTTCAGACTCACAGACGTGGGCGGATGTTATTTTTTCAAACTGACAGTATATTTTTCATCAGCTTATTTGCTTAACTGTTGGGTTAGACTTAATGTTTAAAGAAAATGTCATCATAATAGTTGGCATTTAGAAATGTAAAACATTTTAAGACTGATATGACAAGCCAGGTGAGCAATGTTCTTACCTCATACTCTTTCAGTGTTCCAGACCAATTACATCCATCATTTTGGCATTTGGCTGGCAAGCTATCAATTTCCTTTCGTGCTGCATTATCAGGAAACGCCTATGGGGGAGTCAAAGACAATGGAATTTTCTTCATTAATGAATACCTTTTGAAACTGTATTCCTGTAAATGTTAAACATTACACCAATGCATGTACATTTGCTAAGAATGTATACACTGACTGAATAAGAGTTACCAGGAAATAAGAATGATAGCACTTACCACTGCAATATTGAGCATAGACGTTGCCTCTTCAAATATACCCTCAGCACGACAAGTTTTGCAGGGTATGGGCCCCGAACTAATGAAGAGGAAAGATTTTAACAGTAAAGATTTTAACTTTAACAGTGCAGCCTTCAAAACAGAGCAAGGCAAGATTGAACTTTAAGCACACTATAAACACCACAGTTTTGGGAAAGCATTAATATACAGCCTTCTCTTACCTGAGGGCTATTTATTGAGTCTACCTAAAGAAAGCTTTCAAGCTTAATTTGCAACGAGAAAGTAGTGCTTTGATAATGGAAAGATTGAAGTGAAAGCAGCATGTGCGCAAAAATAATTAAAAGCGAAACATGAAGGATAAACGTATTGCACCAAATTTTATGTTCTCATTTACATCCTATACTGGCTGACATAATATGAAAAAGCTTCAAAGGCTGTATGCAAACTGACATTTATCTGAGCCACAAGTAAATGATGGTTAAAGTTTTTCTCTTTTTTTAAGAGTCTGAATTAACTGGCAAGTGGATTGGACTAGGGCTGAAACGATTCCTAGAGTAACTCGAATACAAAAAATCATCGATGCAAATGATTTGCCTCGAGGCTTCGTTTAGTCCATGTACTGTAACTACACATGGAACACTGTGTTTCCCCACGGACCATTATACTGACGCACAACCTGATAAACACTGGACATATTTAAGACCGTAAATCAATATGGTGGCTAGTTATGATGTCCTTAAGTTAGCTATGCTTTGTGAAAGACTAGATTCAGATTTTCCACAATTTTTTTTTACATTGTTTGATCAATTATCTGATTTATTTTACTATCTGAATGAATTGAGGAAGCAACATAGGTAAGCCTAGAGATACCTTCCGCTTTAGCCAGCAGAGCACGACCTTTAAGAGATAAATCCCTCTGTAACCAAATATTAAATCTGCTCTTTACTTGATTACAGGATTAAAATTTTGTGAGATTCTGTCCTGGAGCCGTGTCATCAGCCAACTGACTTATCAGGACACTTCTCCCTTCAACTTGAATTCCTTCTAACTCACTTAATTTAATAAAATGACTAAACACCTGAGCAACTATAAGAAAAAGATAAACTGAAACTGGGCAACCTTGCCTCACACCTCTTTTCAGATCAAATATTTGTGTGGTGCCTTGACTTAATTTAACTGACGATATTATTAAATATAAGTCTTTTTCTCATAAACCCAGATTGATTTTCATCAATTATTGAATCTAATACTAATTTAAATCTTTGGGCAAAAACAAGAGCAAAACGCGTCCGCAAGTTCGCTTGGGTGCGCGCAGCAAATATGACGTCATCGCGGTGTTGGCGGAAGTTCACTTTGAGTGCGCGCAAAATCATTTCGCGTGGCGGTGTGCACGCATTTTTTGTAACTTACTTTTTTGTAACTCCGCATTCGAAGATGCACGAGTTCAGGGCGATTCTAGCCGAACATGCACGTCTGTTTGAAAAATAATGTGTTTTTTTCAACATTAAAGCATATCAACATATTCTGTTACACCAAATACACAAAATAATGATCTTTAAAAAAGCATCATATGACCCCTTTAGTTAAAACTCCATCAGGTGCTTTTTGACACAAAACAATGCATAGTTTTTTTGCACAGTTTGTCCAAGGCATTTTATTTGAAGTATGTTTTATTTTTATTGTATAAAAATAGAATTAGAATTCATTTACATACTATTTATACACTATTTGCTTAAAGTTGTCTTGTGTTTGATGCGAAATAAAGCCAAAAGTTTAAGATTGTTTTAATCAATTTGTACATAAAGAAATTATTAATTCATGAACTCATTCATCACGCGAGAAGTCTTGTAACGTTACCGGCAAATGACTTATTCGGAGCGGAGCCAGGCGAAAGTATAAATCCCGCTTTAGACACATATACACAGGCGCGGGCGCGAACTGGAACCACGGACTTGGCTGCATCAAGTCATTTGGAGGACTCATAAGGACACATCATTTGAGGTAAGTAACTTTAACTAATGTTACAATATCGACTGTAGTACATGATTTTAGCATTAACAGTGTATGACAGCAAACAGATCATTTTTGTATTATCGTTTACAATTGCGGTCTGACAGGCGGTTGTTTTCTGTGCACAGACACGCAAGCGCGCAAATATTTTTTCGCCCGTTTTTTGTGCTTAACTTAGATGGACAAATACACACTAAGTTATGTCAAAATGCTGGTTTTAGCAAGTTTTCACAAACTTAATCGTTTGCGTCTTAAATGTGCCATAGAATGGAAAACTGTAATTACCTTGGCATAGTTGAATAATAACAGTTCTGTACATGGAAATGACATTCCTGAGCCTCAAACACCATTGTTTCCTCCTTCTTATGTAAATCTCGTGCATACAAAAGACCACTGAAAAATAGGCGAATCAGAACATAACACCGACTGTGACTTACAGTCGGGATCACGAATATGTACGCCTCCAACATTTGCATATACCCGCACATGTTCTAGGCCAGCCAGACCTGCACAGCCAAATCATCAGAAGTTCTGCAGGTATTGTGAAGAAACAAGCGAGGACAACAGCGAAAATG